TGTAATCTTAAAAGTCCCATACATAAATTTCAAGCAAGCATCTAACCTTAAAAGTACCATACATTAATTTCAAGCAAGCATCTAATCTTAAAAGTCCCATACACTAATTTCAAGCAAGCATCTAACCTTTAAAGTCCCGTACATTAATTTCAAGCAAGCATCTAACATTAAAAGTCCCGTACATTATTTTCAAGCCAGCTTCTAGCCTTTAAAGTCCCATACATTAATTTCAAAAATATCTCTGTTTCATTTAGAATGGGCGAACCTTACCGCCGGTGTTCCAAATTCGGTACAAATATTTCAAAGGGACGGTGACCGTCGACCCCGAATTACAAGGTACTGCTATTCTCAACAGATGATGTGCTATGCAAATTTGTTGTGTTGTATAGGATTATGGTACATCAAACACACAAATACAATATCTGTTTCACATTTCAATCAATCTGTATGACGTCGGTTTGCGAGAGTGCTTTATTTAATTCGCAAACTTTGGTTTACAATTTTTTTATTTAATTCGTAAGACGGTGGTTTACGATAACATCTCAAAACTCAGAAAAATATTGTGCATTTCTAGCTCACGAAATCTATCAATTTCGTGTTATGGCAAACAATACATTGACCTCCCATTATCTTTATCATTCAACTAGCCTCTGGGTATCCATTGTGTACACTATAGTTGTAACCTGTATACCAATGTCAGTATATTTCACCCAATCAACTATACTCTGGACATCCCTTGCATACACTTTACCTATAACCTGTACACCCATGTCAGATATTCCACACAATCAACTAAATTACGGACATCCTTTGCATACACTATACCCATAACCTGTATACCAATGTCAGTATATTCCACACAATCAACTAAATTATGGACATCCTTTGCATACACCATACCTATAACCTGCATACCAATGTCAGTATATTTCACACAATCAACTAAATTTTGGACATCCCTTGCATACACTAAACCTATAACCTGTATACCATTATTGTTGTCGCTGTCCAGGTCGAGAGATTGTTTTTACCAAGTCCATGGAGAAAGTTCCCTGGGAGCCCTCTGTCCCCGCGCTCCACCCAGACACTCAGCAAATGGCGTCTTTTGATTGGCTGGGAGTTGTGGAATTTACTCAGAATGAGAGTTTTATGGATAAAAGAACAGCCCGGTATGCGTCTCAAGTGGGGCCGAGTATGTCTGTGTTGGAACTGTTGAAGGCCAAGGGCGTCAAGTTGTCGGTATGTACAGGTTATATACTGTTGTGGCGTGTTTGACATATGGTTTTTATGCAGGTCGTATCAATGTGATTTGTCTTACATATGGTGTCAATGCATTTCGTATTAATTTCACTTGTATATACTGTTGTGGCGTGTCTGACATACGGTGTCTATGCATGTCGTATCAATGTGATTTGTCTGACATATGGTGTCTATGCATGTCGTATTAATTTCACTTGTATATACTGTTGTGGCGTGTCTGACATATGGGTTTTAAGCAGGTCGTATCAATGTGATTTGACTGACATATGGTGTCTATGCATGTCGTATCAATGTGATTTGTCTGGCATACGGTGTCTATGCATGTCGTATCAATGTGATTTGTCTCACATACGGTGTCTATGCATGTCGTATTAATGTGATTTGTCTGACATATGGTGTCTATGCATGTCGTATTAATGTGATTTGTCTGACAAATGGTGTCTATGCATGTCGTATTAATTTTACTTGTATATACTGTCGTGGTATGCCCGACAAATTATGCATGAGGATGTCGTATCAATGTGATTTGTCTGACATACGGTGTCTATGCTTGTCGTATTAATGTGATTTGTCGGACATATGGTGTCCATGCATGTCGTATTAAGCTCACTTGTATATGCTGTTGTGGCGTGCCCGACAAATGATGCATGAGGATTTCGTATCAATCACACTTCTTTGGTTGTGTCGTCTCTATTCCCGTGTACCATGTTCTGCAGTTTGCCTACTAGCGTCCTTATTCTAGTTCGCACATGTAGACGCTTTATCATACTATCAGCTATGTACATATCGTTCTCGAGCGTGTTATATACACCAGCCGTTGCTATCTCTTACACACTCGATCTTCTTCATCTGATCCAAACTCTTGTTGTATACCTGACTGTTATAGTGTATAAGTATTGCACTTCTCTAGTACGTACAGTACTCGCCTTCTTCATCTGATACAAACTTTTGCTGTATGCCTGACTGTTATAGTATATAAGTATACAGCATCAATTGCACTTCTCTAGTATATACAGTACTCGCACGGTTGCTGTGTATCTGTCGGCACGGTCTCTGCGTGTTTCTGGCTATACTTTTAGAGTCCCATATTCAACCTGTCCTATTTCTAGCTCCGCCCAGTATCCTGTATACTTTATTCGTTATTGTTTGTATCCGTTCTGCACATACCTCACACACATTCCTTCCTATCTAAGCCACTCTCTTCCTATATACCTCATACACACGTCTTCATCTATCTTATAAACTCTCTTCCTATATACATCACATACACTTCTTCATCTTTCTACTACACTCACTTTCCATATACATCACATACTCTTTTTCATCTATCTTATACACACCTCTCGTATACCTACCTGCACAGACTCTGCGTGCAGTGTTTGCCTCTGAGGCCGATCTGCCTCCGTTGGTGCGGTTGATTGATGCACATACCGTTCATGGTGGCGCACACAAAGTGTCACCCGAAGTTGCGCTGAGCGAAGCTACCAAGCTTCTCCAATGCCAGACATCTATGGAGGTAGGGTGTGCATGGTGCATGTGTGCATTGGATGTGTATGTATGTGTGTGTGTGCGTCTCTGTGTGTGTGTTTGTATGTGTGCATTCATGTGTGTTTCATGTATGTATGTATGTATGTATGTGTATGTATGCATGCATGTATA